CCCCCCCCCCCTCCCTGCAAACTAAAGGTGGGTCTTGTACCTTAAATTTGCCCCTCAATAATTGGAACCTAGCCGTGGCTTTGTTAGCACATATGCAATTTGATCTTTAGAGGAAAGAAAATGAACTATAAGATCACGTCGAGCTACTTTGTTGCGCACAAAATGAAAATCAATTTCAACTTACTTGGTGCGAGAGTGGAATATAGGATCGATGGACAAGTATGCATCTCCAATATTGCCACACCATAGAATTGGAGCACGAGGCAGATGATTTCCAAGCTCAAAGAGCAAAGATTGGGTCCAGTTTTAACTCTGCGGCAGCATCAGCTAGTGCTTTATACTCAGACTCAGTAGATGAGCGTACAATCGTTCTTTGTTTACGCTAACATATTTGAACCAAAGTATGTAGCGTAGTTACTAGTCGAATTGCAATCGTCAAGGCTCCCAGCCCAATCTGAATCAGTAAAAGCTTGCAAATGAAAGATAGCAGTTTTAGAGATGAGAAATGACATTGCCTTGGTATGCTGAAGATAGCGAAGGATGCGCTTGACTGCAACCCACTGCTTTTGTGAAGGATCATGCATAAACCGACACACCTTATTGACAAAAAATGATATATTTGGGCGTGTCAGAGTAAGTTATTGAAGGGCACCAACTATTTGTCTGTACAAGTTGGGATCTTCAAATGAAGCACTATCATCTTTGTAAAGCATTGTATTGGTTAGCCATGGGTGTACTGAGGGGCTTGATTGAACCATGCCAGCTTTTCTCAGGATGTTTTGAATATATTGTTGCTGATAATAGCCAGATTCCATCACCTATGTGAAGCACTTGAACGCCAAGATAATAATGGAGATGACCAAGATCTCGAATGGAAAAAGTTTTCCAACCTTTGAATAATGGAATCAAGAAATGAAGTCTTCGTGAATCTTGAAAACATGAGATGATCAACAAAACCTGGTGGTTGGACTATGTAGACATCTTCTTGAAGCTCTTCATGCAAGAAGTCATTTTGAACATCCAACTGGCGCAAAGACCAGCCACGAGATACTGCCACTATCAAGATAAGGCGAATGGTAGTAGATTTAACCACCAGACTAAATGTCTCGTGGTAATCTCGCTCTTCTACTTAATGAAATTCTTTTGAAACAAGGCGAGCTTTATACTGCTTAATAGCTCCAGCAGCATTGCGTTTAATATGAAAAAACCCATTTATACCCAAGTATATTCATGGAGGATTGGAAAGGAACCAACGAACAAGTTTGATTTCGAAACGAGGTTGTTATTTCATCAGACATAGCAGCACGCCATTCTTTAAATTTTAATGCATATAGTTGGAAGGTTCAGTGGTTGGAGATGAACAGTTGATTGTGAGGCAATGAGATGCAAGATTGGAGGAATGTTGCATGTACACAACTGCATTGTATGTGTTCGTTGAGGGGTACTGATTATAATGTGGCATGTGACACAACTGCATTGTATGAGGGGTTCTGATTATAATTTTTTTTCGTAAGGATGTTGAGCGTTTGGGTTGAGTGAAGGGTAAGGCCGGTGGCTGGCTAGTAGAGGGATATTTAGAGAAGTCAAATTCCGGAGGGATAAAGGAAGGGTCAACAAGTCGTGGAGGAGAGGGTTATAGCTTCATGGACAAGGATAAAACTTTAGAAGCACCAAGAAAGTCATTCACAACGTCTCAAGCTAAGGAGAAGCAAGACAAGGTTGTTGGGCTTCAATGGGAGATCAAGAAGGCGCTAATGGTCACGACCCCAGTTCGCCCTCCGTGAACATGCCATGACGGCACCTAGTCCCTACGACTAAGTAAGCCTAACAATGCGAAAGATAAACCATAATTGCGGAAGAAAGTAAATAAAACTGAACTGGTAAAATAAAACGGTGTTTAAGGTACCGCTAGGCACATACCATAACAATTCTCGAAGCTAACAAAAACTCCCAAAACCCGAAAACTCACAAATCACAAGCTAAGGGATACATAAGAGGCTCTGACTCAAGAATGTCTATACAAAGGAGAAAATACTGAAGGAGCTATACTTATTACAGAAACTGGAAAGAGACTCCTCGGTCTGCGGACGTAGCAGATATACCTCGAAGTCTCTACTGATACGCCTCCTTCCAAGGCTGACAGAACTGAGTGGGGGGTACCTGTATCTGCACAACAAAAATGTGCAGAAGAGTAGCATGAGCACACCACGGCGGTGCCCAGTAAGTATCAAGACTAACCTCAGTGGAGTAGTGACGAGGAACAGTCAAGACACCTACCGGTCAAATAAACAGTATAATCATAGGAATAATGGAAACAATATATAAATGTGTAAAGACTGCATGAATGACCAAGAATGCTACAATTCACAATAAGGGAAAAAGGGCAACAAGTAACGACGAGAATATAATAAATGATGATACGAAATGACGGCAGAGTCACAATCCAAATCCTAAGGTCACAACACAGCAAGGGGAAAACAAGTCAAATACTCATATCCTACAATGATGTTCACATAAGGTCTTATTCAACCCTTCCAACAATTTTACCAAGTTTCGGACAAACCATAACTCACGAGAACCCAGCATCTGAAATCTAACATTTGGCATCCTGTGCCCCATCAATCTCACGGTCATGCTGACAACTCACTGGCTAACTAGGGCCACTCTCACGTATAAAATGGATAAACGAGTGCATACCTCCACCCTTAGCAAAATCAGGAGGAATTCACCTCTAATAGGAGTGTTCAACTACGAGAATACATGTGCAAGTGTTTTTAACAAGAATTCTACCAACTAGAAAACATGAAAAGGAGAACGGACCGCACGTACGAATGTTTCCTCACAACTTCCAAGCGGTAACGCTCATACAGGTAAGCAACCCACAATCACAATATAAAACAAATAGGAATGCCTCCACCGGCCGTCACAATTCTTTACAATCAACCCCTGACATAGCCCACCTTATTTCGCCACGCGTGCAAATAATGATATAATAGGCACCGCCTTATTTCTCCATACGTGCATCACAATATTCCCACCTTATTCCGCCACGTGCACAACTCACATATAAGCATATAACATATCCCGCCTTATTACGCTGCATGTGAAAAACATCAATAGCAACAATAGCACGACAAAGACCTCGTGCAACCCTTCATCAACAACCGCACGGCAGAGACCTCGTGCATCACAATACCAACAGCTGCACGGCAGAAACCTCGTGCATCACAGTATCAACAACCGCACGGCAGAAACCTCGTGCATCACAGTATCAGGTACCATACAACAAATGACAATATATACAGGAATAAAGCAAGAGAATCACAACTAACTCATAAGGAATAACCGTAACAGAGAAATACTAAGCGCAATAAGAACAACTCAACAAGGAGAAAAAATACGAAACAACAATTCTAAAATACTCAGTTCAACAACAAAGAAGTTAACATGAATCAAATAATTACAATTAAGGAAATATCAACTAAACATAGGATAT